TTTCATTTGGTCACTTTTTGAAAAAATTAAATGTACAAAATATAGTTAATGGAGGCCTAAAACGTATCGGGAGAAATAGAATAACGGTTGAATTCTCTAAATTTATTGATGCAAATCTATTTTTAGAAAACCCATCCATGAATAATAAATATAAAACCTTTATTCCATCCTTTCACGTATCTCGTATGGGAGTTATAAAAGGTGTACCAAAAGATTGGACACTAGAAGAGATTATTTTCGAATTATCTACGTATCCAAACACTATTCCTGTATTAAAAGTAAGAAAATTAAATTACCGAGTTCGCAACGAGGACAAAGTCAGATATGAAAACTCTGAAAGTGTCGTAATCACATTTGACGGTCAAATTCTTCTCTCGAGGGTTTATTTATGCTATTCTTCCATTCCTGTTGAAATTTATAAGCTTCCAACGATCCAATGCTTTCAGTGCTGCAGATTTGGACATACTAAAGATTTATGTCGTTCCAACCCAAGATGCTCAAAATGTGGAAGTGATCACTCCTCTTCTTCTTGCGACAAAGATAATGGATCTTTTCGTTGTTTATTTTGCTCAGGTAACCACAAAGCCACAGATTCTAGATGTCCTGAACACACAAGACAAAATAATATTAAAATTGAAATGGCACAAAATTCTATCTCATACCTAAAAGCATCTCAAAAATATCCTAAAGTTTCTTCAAAATCATATGCTGATGTTTTGATTTCTAAAATCCCTGAAAATTCTTCGTTTTCTACTAATCCTACAATGGATAATTTTTCTTCCAACCCCGCTACATCTAATAAAACTTCTTATAAGAAATCATTATATATTCCTAAACAATTACGTCACCATTCACAAACAGGATACGACAAAAAAAGTCATCAAAAAATTATTGAAGATTTTTCAATTCCGCAACCTGAGGACGGTTGTACTCTTCGGGTTTCACTAGTTACTTCACAGGGTAATTTTGATTCTGTAGAAAGCATTATAAGTTTCCTTATTAACGTAATCATATCTTCGTATTTGTCGAAGCTACCGTCCCACGTTGCTCGCTTACTAAATTCTATACCTAAAATTCTCTAAGACATTCACTCTCACAAAAATCCTTCAATGGAATTGTAGAAGCATTTTAGATAAACGTACTGAAATAATCTATTTATTAAAAAATACAATGTGTGTATCGCTGCTATTTCAGAGACATGGCTAAAACCGGCTTCGAACATCAGAGTACCTATAACTTATTCCATTATAGATGTTTATGATGAAATATTTGACTTTAATATTGTAGCAGTAAGAATTCAAAATATTACTTTCGTTTCTATTTATCTTCCATCCCCTTCTGTCCATACGTTTCGCAGAATAAAATCTTTAATAGCCTCCTTACCCAAACCATTTATAATTCTTGGTGACTTTAATTGTCATCATTATTTATGGGGTGATAATACTGATAAATACGGTAGTTTATTAGTTGAAATAATTGACGAACTTAACATTGGTGTCCTTAATACTGGTAAAATTACCAAACGCCTCGTCTCGTCCTAATGAGTCTAGAAGTGTTGTAGATTTATCAATTTGTACTCCTGATTTAACCACTCTTCTAAATTGGTCAGTTTTAAATAGCTCTCACGGCAGTGACCATTTTCCCATTCTGATTTACTTTCCGAACAAAGAATTGGCAGAAATTAACAAAAAACCATGTATTAAATACAAATTAGACAGAGCAGACTGGAACCTGTACAATATTTTTCTTTACAATGAAATTCTAAAAATCACCCTTATTTCTGAAAATAATATAACTTCTATTGTTTTTAATAATATAACTTCTATTCTTGGCCCTTGCCCGGCGGGAGAGGAGTGTTGGCCGCTTCCCGGGCAGAACACCTTGCCCGGCGGGAGATCTCCCCTTTTCCTTTCACGGCCACAGTGGTGACCCCGACGTGATCTGAACACGCAACCAACACTACCTTCGGAAACTTCAAGCTTCATCATCGTGATAAAATACCCCACCCATTCGCTCCCGAGCAGATATCGTCTGCAGTCTTCATATCCTGCAAGCCATCTAGCTTCACAAGGTTCATCGCAGCACTGGAATAATAATGCTTCCTGTTCCTTCAAGCTACTCTCTGCGCCATACAGTGTTCGGCACGGCTCTGAGCTTTACTGCTCGCCTCTGCTTCACGGCACTCTCGCAGATTACTTGCCTTCTTCTCGACTCACCGCAGACTACAAGGCAATCTCCTGGCACTTGCACATTCGTCGACAACGAGACTTCACTATCGACCTCTGATCTGAGCAGGGGGGTGATGTAGCGGCGCTATCGTCGCGCCACTAGCACATCTAAAACACACCGAAGCCTAAATCACGCTATCAACATTCCGAATCATAAACAGCATATATAGAACATCTCCGAACTATCACACGGAGTGTTGGCCACTCCCCGGGCATAACACCCTGCCCGGCGGGAGATCTTCCCTTTTCCTTCGACGGCCACAGTGGTGACCCCGACGTGATCAGAACACGCAACCAAACAACCTTCGGAAACTTCAAGCTTCATCATCATCATAAAATACCCCACCCATTCGCTACCGAGCTGATATCGTCTGCAGTTTTCATATCCTGCAAGCCATCTAGCTTCACAAGGTTCATCGCAGCACTGTAATAATAATGCTTCCTGTTTCTTCAAGCCACTGTCTGCGCTATACAGTGTTCGGCATGGCTCTGAGCCTTACTGCTCGCCTCTGCTTCACGGCACTCTCGCAGATTACTTGCCTTCTTCTCGACTCACTGCAGACTACAAGGCAATCTCCTGGCACTTGCACATTCGTCGACAACGAGGCTGCACTATCGACCTCCGGTCTGAACAGGGGGGTGATGTAGCGGCGCTGTCGTCGCGCCACTAGCACACCGAAACACACCGAAGCCTAAATCACGCTATCAACATTCCGAATCATGAACAGTATATATAGAACATCTCCGAACTATCACACGGAGTGTTGGCCGCCCCCCGGGCGGAACACCTTACCCGGCGGGAGATCTCCCCTTTTCCTCACCGGCCAGAAAGCATTTACAAACGCAGTTATAAATGCAGCAGATCAAACAATTCCTGTTAAAACTCTAAATAATAAATGTAGGCCCTCCCCTCCATGGTGGGATTCTGAATGTACTGAGGCCATTCGTAATAGGAAAAAAGCCGAAAAACAATATAAATTAGACATGAGTTCGGAAAACTATTTATACCTTCAACGTGTACAAGAAGTGTCTAAAAATGCTCTTCGCACAAGAAAACAAACACGTTGGCATGCCTTTTGTTCCTCAATTTCTCCTTCAATAGCTCAGTTGTTTGGCGTAATATTAGAAAATTTCGCTGTTATTTTTCATCTTGTTCTTACAGTGGTGCCATTCCCTCTCAATCTATAAACACTTTTCTAGATAAACTTGCCCCCTCTTCTGCTCCTTTGAGAGAGGAGCTACTTCAAAGTATTCCATGTGATTCTTTTTTTGATCCCTTAGAACGTCCATTTTCTTTATATGAATTAAAGCTCGTCCTTTCTCACGTTCACGATTCAGTTCCTGGTTTAGACGGTATTCCATATTCACTACTTGCCAAATGTAATGATCAAATTTTATCCTACTATTTAAATATCATTAACGTTTTGTTTGACATAGGCTTTGTTCCTGACTTTTGGCGGACTCAAGTAATTATTTCTATCTTGAAACCTGACAAAAATCCTAACGACGGCTCTTCCTATAGACCGATCGCTCTATCCTCAACTCTAATTAAAACCTTTGAACATATGATCAAGAACCGTCTTGAATGGTATGTAGAAAGTCATGGATTATTATCAAATACCCAATATGAATTTAGAAAAGGTAAAAGCACATATGACAGTCTTTTTATCTTCACCACAGATATTAGACTAGCATTTTCGAGAAATGAATCGGTCCTTGCTGCTTTCCTTGACATTTCTTCTGCATACGATAATGTCAGACTCAACATCCTTAGAGAAAAGATGTTTAAGTTTAATATATCCAAAAAACTTACAAATTTGGTTATCAATTTATTTCTAGATCGATATATACATATTAAAATTGATGATTATCTAAAATATACTCGAAAGGTTTTCAAAGACCTTCCACAAGGCTCTGTTTTAAGTCCTTTATTATACAATATTTATACGTCAGATTTAGACCAGTCTATTTCAAAGTGTAGAATTTTGCAATATGCTGATGATATCTTAGTTTATGTTAATGATAAATGTATAGAATCTTGTGCTAATGCGATAGAACAAGATCTCCTTATCTCCTCTCTATGGCCTCTTGGTTAGATGATCATGGACTAGAACTTTCCCCAAATAAAAGTAATACAGTAATTATATTTCGTCGCTTCATTCTTCAGATATAATTAACTTAGGTAGTCCCTTAACCTACTCGAGGAATTCGCACGTTTAGAGAATCGATCTATTTAAATCGATTTTTTTTTGTTGGCAACTCCCACTCTCCATTTACCCACCGGTCCGATATCCACTTCATTTCCTTAACTGTGCGAGGCAGCGTTCGCACGTGCCTTTCTTTAAAAGTGAAAATAATTTATATTCTGTGGTTACTATGCCAAAAAGGAAAAATGAAGAAAAAATTAAACGTTATCGACGCAAAATTAGAAAAATGGAACAGGAGCAGCGAAAATACAAACGAATCATTTATTCATCTTCTGAAAACTCTGATAAAGATTCGGGTTAGTTAAGTTTTATCTCTAAACATTATAAATACTAAATTAAATACAATATTATAAAATAATGTATTTACATTTTACCTGGAGGTTGATCATGTGTCATCACGAAGGTGATTTTAATACCGAGAGGTTAACCGCGTGTTAACACGAAGGTACTTTGAAATCGTTCGAGAAACGATTTTACAGCTATTTTTATAAAATAATTTTATAACATTCGTATATTAATATTCTAATATAATATCGTATATAAAATTATATTGAGATAATATAAAATGTTACTATTCGAGCAATTTATTTGCCTTTGGTTCGAATATCTACCCTCAATAACAATTATTGTTTTAGATAATGAAAATCTTGATAACGCCGATATAGAACCCTTGAATTCGGAGTATCCAAGCGGCAAAAATAGTGCTTTAAATAATGAGGAGACAAAATATGACTCTGACCAAGAACCGGTAGTGTCAGAATTAGAGCCTGACGTCCTTACTGCCTTAGGTGAGACCACGGAAGAGACACCGAAGTTGGGCCCGAAACTCCATGAAAAGTTAGCTCAGAAAAGGTATACATAAAGAGGCGAAAGAGAAATTACTCAAAGAGTACCTCATACCGGAAAACTGCTCGTTATTACAAGCGCCAAAATTAAACCCTGAGATTTCGGCTGCTGTTTCTGAGGTCACCAGGACTCGAGACAAGAGAGTCGAGGCCGTACAGCAACAATTAGGGCAGGGGATATCAGCTCTTAACAAAGGTCTCGAACTCCTCTTAGAGGATGGCAAAGACAGACTTCAAGCCGTTAAGTTTCTCAGTGACAGCTGTAGAATACTATGTGACCTACACTTTGTAGAAACGGAAGCAAGGAAGAAATTCGTGACCCCAGGATTGGATAAATCCTTTATGAATATTATGCAGGAAGTGGATCGCGATGACCTGCTCTTTGGAAGTAAGCTTTCAGAAAAAATAAAAGCCACAAGAGTGATCGAGAAACACGGTTTACAAATCAAGAAACCTGTCCAAAATTTGAAAACTTCTTACTCGTCACATCAACCATCAACGAGCCTCTCACGCCCCCAGGGAAACTGGGGAGGCCCTTCTCGCTTCAAACAGAGGGGGGAGGGGAGGGCCGAAGAAGAATACACTACCAAGTCGCAGAGCGCCACCAGGCCCCAGCTTCCAACCGAAGCCGTCGGCGCAGAGCAAGCACCGTGCCACAGCTCAACAACAGTAAAGGTACACGTAGGAAGAATTCAGTATTTTTATAACTGCTGGTTTAACATAACTAAAAATTCTCAAATACTTAAGTGGATCTCAGAAGGGTATTCCATACCGTTTTGTAGCAAAGTAAGACAAATTTCAGTTCCACGTAATTCTGTACTCAGTAATGACCCGCATATGTTAAATTCTATCAAATCTTTATTGGATCTTGGTGCTATTTCACCCTGTCGCAGATCGATGGACGACTATGTTTCCAATGTATTTCTAGCTCCGAAATCTAACGGAGCAAAAAGATTTATCTTAAATCTTAGAACTCTAAATAGGTTTATTTCAACCACCCATTTCAAAATGGAAGACCATAGGACTGCGGCTAGACTATTACCTAAATCCGGCTTCATGGCAAATATTGATATAAAAGAGGCTTACCTTCTGGTTCCAATAGCAAAAAAACATCGTAAGTACTTACGTTTTCAATTTAATAACAAATGCTTTGAATTTAACGCTCTGCCATATGGACTGTCCGTTGCCCCTTGGGTTTTCACTAAGTTAATGAAAGAACCTATTAACTATCTACGACAACGAGGATACAGGTCGGTAATATACCTGGATGATATACTATGCATAGGCGACACTTACGAAGAGTGCTCCACTAACGTAAGTAAAACGTTGTCATTGCTCAAATGCTTAGGATTTGTCATCAATTACGAAAAAAGTTTCCTTGAACCAAAACAGATATGTCGATTTCTTGGGTTTATATATAATTCAGTTGATATGTCATTAAGTTTGCCAAATGACAAACGACAAGTTATCACGCAGTATGTCCAAAAATTTTCCTTACTCCCCAAATGCTCTATCAGGGAATTGTCACAACTAATAGGAATACTCACTGCTGCCTGTCCAGCCGTTAGATATGGTTGGTTGTACACCAAAATTCTCGAACGTCAAAAATATTTAGCCTTACTAAAATACAACGATTTTGAAAAAAAAATCAAGCCTTCAGTCATTATTTTACCCGACCTGCAATGGTGGAAACAAAACATATTTTCCACTAGCAATTCACTGAGGCCAAACAAAAACTTTGCTTTAGAAATATATACTGACGCGTCCAATACAGGCTGGGGGGCTGTTTGTGGTGATAAAAGAGTAAACGGTGGATGGAAGGACGATGAATTATCCTTTCACATTAATTACCTAGAACTACTAGCCGTTTTCCTTGGCTTGAAATGCTTTGCTATTGCTCACTCTAATTGCTCTATTTTACTCCGCGTGGACAACACAACTGCCATATGCTACATAAATCGTATGGGCGGAATACGGTTTCCACATTTAAATAGTTTGACCAAAACTATTTGGCAGTGGTGCGAAAAGCGAAATATCTTCTTATTTGCATCCTACATTAACACACACGACAACCGCGAAGCTGATGAAGAATCACGAAAAGTAAACGTAGATACGGAGTGGGAATTATCGGAACGGGCGTTCGCAAAAACTGTTCAAAGTCTGGGAGAACCTGAAATTGATCTTTTCGCTTCTCGTCCCAATGCAAAATGCCTTCGATATATCTCATGGAAACCTGACCCCGACGCAATGACAATTGACGCTTTTACAGTTAACTGGAACTCGTCGTTCTTCTACGCATTTCCACCGTTCGCATTAATACTAAGATGTTTACGAAAAATTATTAGTGACAAAGCCACCGGTATATTAGTATTTCCTTACTGGCCTGGACAAGCTTGGTTTCCACTGCTCAAAAGAATGCTCATCTCAGAGATTATTTTCTTTAAACCCAATAGAGACCTTTTGCGTTGTCGTTACAGGTTACGTCACCGACTTCATGCCAGCCTTTCCCTGGCGGCCGCGACGCTCTCAGGGCAGCATTTAAGAGACTAAACACTCCGGACATAGCACTAGATCTCATGCTAGCATCCATCTCAGATAATACTATGAAACAATATTCTAGTACATACAGACTGTGGTGGCAATTTTGTTTAAATAACCAAGTAAATACTTATGACGCTCCATTTTCATCCATAATATCATTTTTAGTGGATCTGTACAAAAACGGAACATCATATGGATCCATTAATAGTCATCGCTCTGCCCTATCACTACTCCTCGGGAATAATATAGGGTCAGACGAACGAATTAAGCGGTTATTAAAGGGTATTTATAGACAAAAACCTTCCCTTCCCAAATACACAACTACATGGGATCCGAAAACTGTGCTTGATCATGTATCTAAATGGTATCCAAATAGCAATATAAGCCTAACAAAACTTACAAAGAAAATAACAATACTTTTTGCTTTGTGTACTTCTCACCGCGTACAAACTCTCTCTCTCTAATAAGAACTTCTAATATCACAAGACCATGTCAGGCGCTAAGATTTTTATAACTGACATAATAAAAACTTCAGCACCAAATCGAGAGCAACCAGTATTATTCCTGCCTTATTTCGTGGAGAACCCAAGCATATGTCCAGCTATAACCCTAGACGACTATCTTATAGTAACATCTGGGCTGCGAACTGAAGGGTCTGACAATCTCTTGCTTACTCATAAAAAACCTTACAAAAAGGCATCGTCTCAAACTATAAGCCGATGGATAAAGCAGACTTTAGCAGAGAGCGGTGTGGACGTGAATATATTCACTGCCCACAGCACTCGTCACGCTTCTACTTCAGCAGCGGCCTCCGCCGGAGTTTGTATTGACACCATAAGAAAAACGGCTGGATGGTCTACCTCATCCATGACATTCGCTAAGTTCTATAAGCGCCCAGTAATGGATGAAGGAGAATTTGCCCGATCCGTATGTGCGATTAATGCTAATAGTAATAAGTAACAAGACAAATTATGTAATTGTTTGTTTAAATCATTAAGAAAAAGTTGGAAGTAGTATTATATTTCTGTTTACCCAAATTAAAGTTTTTTCCTAATACTATAAATGTTTTATTAACCTAAGAACATTTATCTCTGATTTTAACTACCTCTAAACATCTACCTAAGTTAATTGTATCTGAAGAATGAAGCGACGAAATATAATATGATAGCAAACGAACTTCTTGAAGTGAAGTTCGATCATTATTATATGAGTCGCTTCATTCGAAGATACAAAGGTCCCACCCACCCATACCCGGCGTAAAAAACTTAAACAAATATCTCTAAAAAGAATGAAGTGGATATCGGAGCGGTGGGTAAATGGAGAATGGGAGTTGCCAACAAAAAAAAATCGATTTAAATAGATCGATTCTCTAAACATGCGAATTCCTCGAGTAGGTTAAGGGACTACCTAAGTTAATTGTATCTTCGAATGAAGCGACTCATATAATAATGATCGAACTTCACTTCAAGAAGTTCGTTTGATATCATATTATATCCCGCAAAAGAGTTTTACCTGAAATCCAAGTTCGCCTTTTTGATTATCCGCTCGTAAATATTCAACAAGTTCAATTCCTTGGTGTAATTCTTGATAATAAATTATCCGGCATGCCTCATATAATTTATACCCAAAAAAAATGCGAAAAAAATATAAACATTCTTAGAGCTTTGTGCGGGGTATGGTGGGGCGCTCATCCATATTCTTTAAAATTAATTTATAATGCAATTATAAGAAGCCAATTAGATTATGCCTCATTTCTTCTTGAACCAGCTAGTAAAAAAGGATTAAAAATATTAGATATCATTCAACACAAGTCTTTAAGATTAATTATAGGCGCTATGAATTCGTCGCCTATCAATGCCTTGCAGATTGAATGCGGTGACCCTCCACTTTTTATTAGACGACAATATTTATCGGATTCCTTTTTTTGTCGGGTTCTTCTATTTTCAAACCATCCATTACTCCTTAAAATTCGTTTGCTTTCTCAGTACATTTCAATTAATTCAGGAAAATACTGGCGTAATAAAGAAACTCCTAACCTAGTTAAAAGCTATGATCATTATAATTCCTTACTAGATCCTATTTATAGGTCGGCGACTCTGCCTTTTTTCTCCAATTCGTTTGAAGTTGCACTTTTCAAACCCAATGTTATATTGGATATAGGATTAAATAAATTTTCTATTGAATCAAATAAAAAAATTGTATTTACGTTGGACAAGAATTTCCCAGATTGTCATTATATTTTTACAGATGCTTCTAAGATTAACTCAAAAGGTTGTACTGGATATGCAATATACCATCAAAATTGGAGAATAGTTCAAAAAATGAAAAGTCCTCCCGAATCTTCAGTTTTTACTGGGGAAATGTTAGCCATTTTACAATCAATAAAATATTGCTATCTTTTTAAATTAAAATCAAGCGTGATATTTTCAGATTCTCTCAGTTCTTTACAAGCATTGTTAGGTAATCCTTTCTATGA